TCTCAAAAAAAAAAAAAAAAGTCGCACTTTTGCTTTTTTCCAGGTTTCTAAGTCCATTCTTTGGGTTTGGACAAGTGAGTTTGTTTCTCACAGTCAGGCTCCAGAATTTTGTGACTCAGAATTTTAAGGAAAAAGCAAGTCTCCATGGGGTCTCTTCGTGGCCAAAAAATGGAGGAAGGAATAGAGGTTTGTTTTGCTTTGTTTTGTGGGTTTTGTTTCTTTGTTTGAAACAGGGTCTGACTCTGTCAGCCAGGCTGAAGTGCAGTGGCACCATCACAGATCACTGCAGCCTCCACCTCCTGGGCTCAAGCAATCCTCCTGCCCCAGCCTCCCGAGTAGCTAGAACTCCCAAGTAACACACCAGCATGCCCAGCTAATGCTTAAATTAGAGTTTTAATTCACAGAGAAATAAAGGTTATTTGTATCGGGAGAACCCGCTCCCAGTGGTTACGTGGGTTCTTTTCTATTTCCTAAGTGTCTCAGCTGGTTTGAGAAATAAAGGGAAAGAGCATAAGGGAGAGGAATTTAAAGCTGGGTGTCCGGGGCAGACACCACATGTCGGCAGGATCCCTGACGTTCCCCGAGCCATAAAACCAGCAAGTTTTTATTAGGGATTTTCAAAAGGGGAGGGAGTGCACGAATAGGGTGTGGGTCACAGAGATCACGTACTTCACAACGTAATAAAATATCACAAAGCAAGTGGAGGCAGGGCAAGATAATAGGACCACAGGATAGGGCAAAATTAAAATTGCTAATGAAGTTTCCGGCAGGCATTGTCATTGATAACATCTTATCAGGAGATAGGGTTTGAGAGCAGACAACCTGTCTGACCAAAATGTATTAGGCAGGAATTTCCTCGTCCTAATAAGCCTGGGAGCGGTACAGGAGGCCGGGGCTTATTTCATCCCTTCAGCTTCAACCGTAAAAGATGTAAAAGACGGCCTGCGAGGGGGCAGTTTATAGGCCTGCCCTCGGGGCACATTCTGTTTCTCAGGGATGTTCGTTGCTGAGAAAAAGAATCAGCGATATTTCTCCTATTTGCTTTTGAAAGAGGAGAAATGTGACTCTGTTCCATCCGGCTCACCAGTGGCCAGAAGTGTTTATCTCTGGTGTTCCCTGAAGATCGCTGTTATCCTGTTCTTTTTTCAAGATGCCCAGATTTCATATAGTTCAAACACACAAGCTCTGCAAACAATTTGTGCAGTTAACGCAATCATCACAAGCCCCTTCCTCGAGCCTCCGTTCGAACAGCCCTGTGAGGGGTGCCCTGACCTTCTTGCTCTAATGCCTCTGCAGCTCCCCAGGGCAGCGACTCCCCCTCCCTGCCTCCCAAGTGCAGCCCCGCCCTCTTCACAGGCACACACCCCACAGCAGTGCCTCGAGGTGCACCGGGAGGCCCATCAGTGCTGTTCCCCAAGCCTCCGGCTCTCTTCCTGGAATCTTGCTTCCTCACCCCCTCGCAGCTCGGCATGAACTTGTCACTTGAGGTGGCCAGTGAGATGTTGTGGGCATGAGAGGTGGCACCAAGAGATCAGGTGTGACTCCACCTCCCATTCCCACCTGGGAGGCCTGGCAGCACACGCCGGGGGCTCCCCAACCTAGGTGGCTGGGCAGGGACGATGCACAGACCACAGACCCCACACCTGCCACCGGCCCACGCTGGAGGGAGTCAGCGGCTGAGGGTGGGGCTGTTCGTTACCACTGCACAGCCTGGCTCATCCTGGCTGACTTGGGGCAGTGCTGCCTGGACCAGGCAGAGCAGGGAGGACGTGGTGGGGGCAGCGACCCCTGGGGTGTTTGGAAGGAGAGCAAGAACCTAATCAATGTGAGTCCTGGACTTTGAGGCTGCGCAGCGAATGCTCTGTGGGTGCTGCCTGCGGCCAGATGCGGGTTTTGGCATCATGAGTTCAGGAGAGAACCAGTTGGTGGGTGAACAGGAGCGAAAGGAAACCAGGAAAACCCAGGGGGGCCTTTGTGGGTTAGAAGAGGCCACTGCCTTTCCATCCTGACCACAGAAGGGAAGATTGCAGAGACCCTTGAGTGAAAATGTCAGTGTTTGGCCGGGCGCGGTGGCTCAAGCCTGTAATCCCAGCACTTTGGGAGGCCGAGACGGGCAGATCACGAGGTCAGGAGATCGAGACCATCCTGGCTAACACAGTGAAACCCCGTCTCTACTAAAAAAATACAAAAAACTAGCCGGGCGAGGTGGCGGGCGCCTGTAGTCCCAGCTACTCAGGAGGCTGAGGCAGGAGAATGGCGCAAACCTGGGAGGCGGAGCTTGTGCAGTGAGCTGAGATCCGGCCACTGCACTCCAGCCTGGGCGACACAGCGAGACTCCGTCTCAAAAAAAAAAAAAAAAAAAAAAAAGTCAGCGTTTGTGGCTGGGGTGGAATCAGGAGCGCGGCACC